GCTACCAAATAAATTGGAATATATTACTTCTTTGAAGATACTCAATTTAAAAGATTACATAAAATTAAGAACATTATCAATATTAGTAAGAAGTCTTCTTGCTTTGAAAAACCTTAATATTATGAACTTTAATGTGCGAAGTATATAAGCTTGATATTATTACCAAATGAATTGGGCAACCTCACATCTTTGACCATATTCAATATAACATGGTGCTAAAGCTTGATATTATTGCCAAATGAATTAAACAATCTCATATCTTTGACTACCTTTGATATAAGGAAGTGCTTAAGCTTGATATTATTGCCAAATGAAATAAACAATCTCATATCTTTGACTACCTTTGATATAAGGAAGTGCTTAAGCTTGATATTATTATCAAATGAAATAAACAAAACCATAATAGCAAATACAACAATAACAAAGATTATATTGATTGATGTAAAAGACATATATAATGTCTTATGCTTTGTTGAGTGCATTAAAAGTCATGGTGATTATCATACAACTTTTTTTAATATTTTAGATCAATTTAAAGTTGAATTAAAATCCACCATCAATGTCTACATTAGGCATTGATAATTTATAAATGGTGGCACTCATGGCTAAAGAATGTACATATATTCAATACAATAATGCAACTATTATGGCAATCATTTTTGACACTTTTCATAGTTAAATGTATGTGAGGCTCTTATTGTAATTCAACTAGTATCGCTACATCATCACATTATACGTCTTGCTAAAACTTCTACTATGTTTATATTTTCTTTTCTAAATCTTAATGTGGAGACATAGAAAAATATCTCTCTTGAGTTAACTAACCTTGTGGCTTTATGTGGTAGCTTGTCCCTACTTGCTACTTTTTATTTCATTTTCCTTTATGCCAATTTTTCTCTCCAAGTGGGTGATCTCAGTTCATATTGTTTTGTATCAAAACATGATTTTTCTAGGTCAGTAAAATTCATTAAAAGATATGCATGGTCTGAGTTTCTTGTGGCCTTTTGCTGCTACTATAAGTTGAAAACTTGCCCAACAAGTTGGCCATATAGCACACACATAGGAAACTTGCTTGCAAGTTAGACACATGTCTTGAAAATTGGACATGTTGCTATGTAGCTCCCAATTTGGTAGTTTATATAGAAGCAAAAGTGATACCTCCTTCACTCTTATTAATTCTTTTCTTGCCTCAAGTCTAATTACAAGAGCCTCTAGTTTTTTAATCTTTGGCAATAGTCAATCCAATTTCTTCTTGAATATACATACTTTCTTATTTGTTTTTTGACATCTCTCTTTGATATATATTCCACTTATTTATTTATACTTTTTGAATTCATGTCCATGACATCTAAAGCTTATAAATAGAATACATTCATGTAATTAATTTGGATATCAATCAATGTATAGAAGATAAAAAAAATAACTCTAGTATTGCCAAATATTGTGTTTTATGCAAAAATATAAAAATAATTAATAATGGCAATGCAGTTTTTTTAGAAATTCAGTGCTGCTTAATACATGCGGGAGTGGCTGCAGAGATGTGGAGACAATGGCAGATCCAATTGCCCAAAAGCTGCCTCTGCATGACCTAATGTAGATCTCGAAGCAGCTGTGGCACTTAGAAGAAGAATCTCAACACTTGCCCTGTCAATTTCTTCATGCATTCCCGCTAGATTTGCAACAAATCGTAGACTGTGGAGCACATGCAAAAGGGTGTAATCCAGACCAGTGGAGTCGAAGGTGTTGTCACGATGATCCAACTAAATATACAAAAATGTAATTCTGTGGTTTTTTCCTCATTTGTTTTATGATCTCCCCCGCTGTCGCTCACCGTGTGGGAGATCCACATGAGTTCGAGGATGGCGGCCATAGCCATGGCTTCACGGAGAACATGCTAATCACACGCTTGTCGCGTCGAGCACTGTACGTAATCGATCATGGGTCTGCTGCATTCGAGCTTACCACCACTCATTTGCGCCGCAATTATCGGACAATTGCTCACAGAATTCGATGTTGCAGGAAATGGTGGAGGAATCCTTCGCAAAGACACCAGCATTTGGATACCGACGCAAAGCGTGCCGATTGCACAGTCGTGTAGTCGTGGCCGTCGTTGTCTTCGTCATCTTCGTCTACAGAATGCACTGGTTCTCGTCGACCGGTCCGCTTCGTCAGCTTTTTGTGTGAATTGACCATTAAATTGTCGTTGTGTTATATTGTTCTTTGTATAAAAAATTATATTGCATTTATATACATAACCAGTTCTGGTTATGATTTTTAAAATGGAATAATGGTGTCTTAAAAGTTTTAAATAATGATTTAGGTTGAGCTCTGTTATTTAAGAATACTAAATTGAAGTTTGGTGATGAAGGTTGTTTATACCATGAGCAAGAGGGTTTTTTGGTGTGTTCTGAATGTATTGGTGTTTAGTCTTTCTATTTCTTTTCAAAGAATTTTAATGCCATGATGATATATTAACTATTGAAAACATAAGATTCTTTGATGAGGAATTATATATGTCACTTGTGATTATCAAAACATTATTCAAATTTTGTATTTGTATCAAATTTTTTAAGTGATGTTTGTGCTTATTGTATTTTGACATAAATATTACTTTTTTATGACATGTCATCTTTTTTTAGTATAATTTTTTATTTAAAATTACATATATATATTTATTTATTTATTTATTTATTTAGAAATTTTCATTCTAAATTTACAAAGCATTGTGCTGCCATATAATAGCAATGAGATTTATATTGAATATAATAATGAATGATATTGTTATCATAATTGCATTTAATAGTAAATTAATCACTCTTCTTAATACCTCAACCTAATGATGTTTATTAATTATTAATTATTATTATTATTATCATCATACACACATCTCATGTACAAAGGTAATCACTTTTGATTGTCCATTTTTATAAAATATTAAAACTTGTCAAAATTTACAAATATGATAATACAATTTATATAATCTATAAAAAAAGTTATATATAAAGCCAAGCATATATAAAAATTCATATGCTTTCTTGTAATACAACTCTATATTAATTGTTTTTAGCAACATTGAAAGAAAAACATAAATCCTTCATTATTATTCTGCTATTAAATATTTTATTAATTTTTTACCTGATTTTTTGTGTAAATAAATTTTTAGATAATAAGGACTATTCAATTACTTGCTTGCTAAAATTTACAAATTCTTTTGATATTATAATTATATCATGGGAACAATACAATTCAACCTCTTTCATAAAAGTTATAATTTTTAGACATGAAGAAGTTGCACTATAGTCTATCAGTTTAGTATTTGAAAAATACTAATTTTTTTTTGGTAAATGATGTATAATAAAGTATTAAAGAAGTTGAGTAAAATTATTATTTTTAGAAAAAAAATTAGTGATATGAAAAATGGATTGAGGTTGTGCTTCCAAACCAAGTAAAAAGGTGAATTTAGCTTAAATAAAAAAAAAGATATAGATACAATCTTCGAGAAGAATAGGTCATTGATAGAGAAGAAAAAATTACATAGTTTATAATAACTAATTATTATATATTATAGTAGAAATAAATAAAGTTTCAAAGAAAACAAAAAAATCCTTATAATCTTTTTGTGACTTATTTCAAAATCAAAATATTTCATGAGCAATATTTTGGGGTTAACTAGTTTAGATAGCCAATGCAATTGTGTATGTCTTTAGAAATCCATGGCACATTGGTAGAGACCTCTATATCTATAGCAATTATTCAACTAAGGTTATAGATTCAATTGCTTCTAGGTACTCTAAGAGTGTGTTCTTTAGAAATTTTCTATGATGGGTGTCTTATATGATTGTTACCTCAAAAGCATGTGCTTGAAATATCTCTGGTGGGAACTTAAATTGGCCATCTCTCTTACTTAATTTAAGAAATCTATTCTACAAAGTAATTATACCATTTATTATTGCATTGGTTTAATTATGCTTACATGTCACATTATGTCTTTATGCTTTGCATATTGCAAAAATGATGATATGACACAAAACAAAGATATTTAAAGAATAAATTTAAATAAATGAACATATTAATTGATGTTTTGTCTTCTGGGGGTAGATGCACATTCAAACAAACAAACACCTACATCTGTAATACATAAAATATGGTACTAATAACATCTGAAAAAAACTTAGAGGTTATTTTTTTATTATTTACATTCTTTGCAGGTATGTATCTTTTATTTTTTAAATTTTTTATGTAGTATTAATAATTTATAATTGTGTTTTTTTTTATAACATTATTTTGCATTGCGATTCAATATTGTATTACATATTATCATACATCAACAATTGGCTTTAACACATCATATTCAAAGCAATGCAAGGACTTCCAATGTTTTTATTTTTTTATTTATTAGAGATGGTGTTTATTTCTTTAAAATGAGATTTAATGTTAAAATATTATTATTGGATTTAGCATATTGATGAATTTTATTACATTCGTAATTTTTAGAAAGACTGCCAAGTCAAATTGTGGATGTTAAACCACCACCTGTGTTTACTTGGACCATAAGTAACAAGAACGTTTGCTGTACTTAAGTAGCTAGTTAAAACAAGAAAGAAAAACAAAACTGAATTTGACCACTATTGTATGTTTTTCAAGCATGCTTTTAATAACTCTCATGTCTTTCAACTTTCTTTCGTACATAAGATATTGCCCAAATCCTCATAGACAGAAACCCTTAGATCCAAGTACAAGACCAGAATTGAAACAAACAAACATGTAAGTAAAAATGTCAAAACTTAGTATGCAAACTAAAACAATTGAATGTGCAGGACTCATCTGAGTGGGCTGCATTACTGATTTCATGCAACCCAAGCTAATGACAGTTTCAGCGTCATTATTACAGCAGAACATGCCTTGTAGAGCACCTTCCTTAATATATATATATATATATATATGTGTGTGTGTATCCATAGAGAGAGAGAGGGAGATGTGTTTGTGAATTCGTAACAAACTTCGCAACTTTTAATCCATCTAGAAGTGAAGATAAAGTGCATGAGGAAAAGGCTATAACCTATAGCCGATACAACCCTGTTTGATGTTTGGTTTCAGAGGCTCTCATGGGACTCCGATTGGGTGATCTTTAGGAAAAACACCAGTTTGCTTAGTCATCTTAGCCATTTCAGATCACTATACACCCAGACCCAGCTCTTCAAAACTAAAAAAAGAACTAAAAGTTCAAAAAACAAAAAAATAGTGAAGGTGAAAAAACAGGGAATTTTTTTGCAACGGGAAATAATGTTCGTCTTTGTTTTGCACTGCTCGTGTACAACTTTGCGTACCGCGACCCTCTCTAAACAATCTCAATGGAGTAGCCTACCTTGCAAACCCTTTGCCACCAGGACGGCGAGCTTTTACAGCAAGTTACTATGCGCCGATGACATAACTCAAAAACAGTGGTGAGGAGGGGTTTGGCGAATCTTTAGGGTTTGCTCTTCGCGGAGCATCTCTCAAAACCCCTGGCATGATATGGCCATGCGCATTGCACTTCGTGCAACCACTTTAGACTTAGCGGCCTCTGGTGCGAGCTTTTCTGAATCGACCCATCGGCGTTGATAAGGTATGTGAAATCATTTTACACGAGGAAGATAGGGAACAACATTACCCACCCACAATGGCTATTATCTGTGGCGGAGCTGCTGCCTCTCGAGGTTGGATTCCAGCAGCTTGGATCGCATCACCACGTCGATGTTGTTTCGAGGCCACTCCATGTGCCCTTTCATGCCTCGGATGATATGCGTGTTGTTGGCTTTGTCCGGCGATTGCGAGTGTTGGCGTGCCCTATGCTGGGGAGACGACGCACCCATGAGATGGCTCGCGTGCCCGTTGGAGAGATGCCTGGACGAGTGGTGTTGTTGGTTGAGATCGTCCTCGTCCCGTCGCAACGCCGAGCCGTTGGGTTGGGCATCGACGTAAGCTTCCTCTCTCCACATTCCTTTCTCTACGTGGTGACCATTCGGCCTGCTCAATGCCACTATGTCCTGCCCATAGCAACGCAGAAGAGTTGGAAAAAAATACGTGCGCAATGAAACCCTACTGTGGGGCACTACGGTCAATTGGCACGACGGTCATCTGCTGAATTGAGCATTGACGTGTGGGATGAGAATATTAGGAAGTGGAATAAGGAGGGCACCTCATCGATGTGTGCGTATTCGTCAACGCTGTCTTCAGGATCTTGTGCATGGACAATGCCACCGTTACTACGGTAATGGTCATCCTCATGGTGGCTGTTCCAGTGAGACTCTGCACAGTCACCCTGGCGTGGATCCTCGTCTTCGTCGGAGTCATGAGACTCGCTAACATAGTCCGACTCCCCATGGTTTGTATCCGCGGCATGCCATTCCTGTGAGTCTCGTCTGGCCACATGAGCGGAATCTCGTGCGTATGACGAGCTTCCGGCTTCACAGTTTACCTCCACCATGTCACCTTCGCTGTCCTCCCACCGGCTCCCAATATCCTGAGAATCTAAAGGGTTGCCCCAATATCGACCCTCCCGTGCCTCATCGCCAGTCATTTGATCCTCCGTGCTCAAATCCATGGTGTAGAGATCATTGTCGGGCGAGGCTGCCTGGTTGAGTGCGATGGGGGGAAAGGACGCTACAAGTCCTCTCGGATGCATTGCAGTGACGACATTGCGCAAGATCTGGGCTTCCTGAGTGGCAGGGCTCCGGGCATCGCCAATTTGGGCCCTGAGAAAGGCTTCCAGCTCTGCGCGCATAACGTCCAAGGCAGCGCTCTTCTCCTCAAGTGCCACTTTGGCTTCGGTGAGCTTCATCTGTACACGTTCTTCCCGCCAGACCTCAGCCAGTTGCAACATCCTCCGCTCCTCTTCAAGCTCGTCCCGCACTCTCTCGGTCTCCCGTTTCAATTCTTCTCTTTCGTGCTTGTCGTCCCCAATTTCCCGAGCCAACTCATCACAGACGTCTTCCATTAGCTGCCTTGATTTGCGTTCATTCTCAAGCTCTTGAAGCGCTTTCGCTGCAGCCATGTTCGCCTCCACAATTTCCTTGTTCATCTTCCGGTTGGACATTTCCAGTCTGCGCCTCATCTTTCGCTCCTCCTCCAACTCGTCCTTCACAGCTTGTAATCCGCTGGCTATCCTCTCTTGCATCTTCTCCTGCTCCTTGGCTTTCCAGCTTGCCTTTTCATCGGCAATTTTCTTCATGATGGTTTCCACCTCTCTCCGAGATGCTTTCTGTGTCTGTTCTAAATCTTGTACCCGAGCACGAGCTTGCTCTAATTCTGTCCTTAGTGTGGCTGTCAAGGTTAAGCTGGAAGTGTGCTGCTCTTCCAGAATGCGAATGCGGCTCAAGACTTTCAGGAGCTCCCGTGATGTGGTCGTCGAATTCTCCCCAACCTTTCCGTCGTATTTCCTGTGGTTAGACCGGTTGGAGCAAGCTGAGGATACCTGATGCCTCTGGCCTTCAAGCTGAAATTGCAAACGAAGAAATCATGAGTAATTTCAGTGAAATTACAAAAAAAAAAGGGGGGGGTAATGACAGTGATCATGAGCACAGTAGGGTATGCCGCAATTAATATCAAGGCATTAGATAGATTGTTCAACTCAAAGACTTTTCTGAGCTTCATAGCATCTTCTATTCAAGATTGAGTATGCGAAAACGGTCACAATGACCTAAGAAAAGGCGAAAAGAACTAAAAAAATACAAGCCAAACCTGAATGGATGCAGAGGCCACATGATGATCAGGTCCATCACTCTTCTCCCCGTGATGCACGTGAGTATGCATAGCTGCCAAATGTTTTCCGAAATTACCGCCACGCTTGCCGTTCTCTGCCCCAGCCTGTTCCCACCCAACCAAATTCAACTCACGGGTTCAACATGTCGTTCCGACTAATTAGGCATTAAAATGCTGCAACTAGGAAACTACAAACGAACCCGTATGCAATGGCGAGCAATTGAAAGTAGGAGAGCACACTAACCTTCACATATTGCTGATATGCAAACTTGCAACTGCGTGGCGAGAAGTAAGAATCTGCCTGTGAACGAGGACTCGAATTGTCGGAGATCCCTTTGAGCCAATGCTGGCTACAGAGACAAGCGGGAAGAGGATGGTCTTGGAGCTCCCACAGGGAGGCCGCCAGCTTGCGAGCCGAAACTGGGGTTGGCCTCCCCGCTGCAGCATGTGCTGCAGCCGCAGCTGCAATGCCGTCGTAGAGCTGGTTGTGGAACACCTTCCAACTGGGCACCGGCGTGCTAGGACCAGCTCTGCGCCCTGCGAGTATGGCTCGCTTCACTCGCAAGCCCTGGGAGGACCAGGCAGTCTCCAGTCCCCTCTTGTTGATTCCGTGCATCCTGACCCCCCGCCTCCTTCTCTGTACCTGCTCCAGCTTGTATCACTGTCCCTGGCCCTAAACCTCTCGACTCCAAGCACCATATGGCAATCTCATGTACGATTTCCGTGTGGCAATCTTCAGAGCTTCCAACTACATCTTGGTCTCAGTGCGCTTCACCCGGAAGTGGTGAAGCCTTAGTTCCGCTTACGCGCTGTAGAAAAGCCGAAATTCTCCTCTGCATTAGCATTCCCGAAGAGGACGTCCACCCTCGGCAAGTACTCCCGTTCTAGGAAAGTCTGTTAAAATATTTTGCTGCCTGCAACTTCCATATCCAAGCAAACTTTCGCCCCACCTCACCTTATAGACCAAATAAGCGGACGATCTTCAGCTACACTGTTCAAAGATAGACATCATTCGTTAGCCTTTGACGGGCCCTCGCAAACATTCTGCCAGAGTTGCACACTGGCTAGAACAATGGTAACGGCTCCACCACTGCTCATGAAGGCTCTAGTGCTTTCACGACAGCTCCGTACACATGTGCTTGAGCTTAATCACGGTGTCGACCACCACAAGAAAGAAAGAGAGAGTCCCGCTTGGTCCATCAGCTTGTACTAAGTCCCGTTACAATTGCGAAGGCAGTATGCAGAACTACGCCACAGCTTAGAGCGAGGCACAGAGTGTGTGATCTACTCAACCTTGCAACGCACAATCAAAGTCGTCTACCACGCACACGGAACTTAAAAGGACACTTGGAACCATAGAACTGGGCAAAAAGCATTGCCACGCACAGAAAAAGCCGGCTGGCGCCGACGATGAGAATCGAACAGTCTCCTCTTCAATGATTGCCCGATCAGCGAGGTCGCTGGACCGTCTTTTCGTCGAATGTATCCTTCCCCTCGTCGAGAAAATTACTACCCTCCCAAGCTCCAACCTCACTCCCAACTATACATTCGTACTGCGAAGGAGGAGGAGGAAGAAGAAGGGGGGAAGGAAAAAAAAAAAAAAAAAAAAAAAAAAAAAAAACTGTACAACCTGCACCTAGACTTATGAACACTGCACTTCACTCAACCCCAACTCAGCCCCGCACTCAATCCCCGAAGCGTGCCTAACGAAACACGCTCCTGCTCACCGCCTCAACCGGCATTCACAATCCTCGCCAAACAGCGTGAGCACCACCCACTCTAACTTCTGATTCACGTTTTACACCCCAGAAATGGCATCCAGGGTGGAAAGAAAAACACAAAAAAGACAAACACAAACACGATCCCCCCAAACCTCTTCTCTCTCGCACTCTCTTCCCCACGGTTGCACGCAGACGCATTAGCTCCCACTAACACCAATCCTGCACATGACATTACATTCCACAAAACTTCTCCCGACTTGCAGAAGCAGCAGCATCTGGATTGAGAGCGGGGACAAGCAACGCCTGTGCAGAGAACCCAATCCCGCGCTCGGCCCGAGACAGGGAGGGGGGGCATTGAAGCCGAATAATATTAATACTAATAATAATACTACTGCTGGTGCTAGTGCTACTCTCCCGTGGTCCCATCAGAACGCCCAGCTGAGCAAGACCCACTGCTGCAGCTCTCTGAGCTTATGATGCTGCCACAGCGCTTCCGACACCAGCGATGTGCCCCTGTGGTCATTATGAACACGCAGGCACATAGAGAGAGAGCGAAGCAGGGCAGCGACGCGAGCGAGCGAGTAGGCGAGGGATGCGAGTGCCCTCGCGGTGGATGAACGCCGCGCGTCCGTGGCCGCGGAGCGCAGCGACGCGCGCAGCCTCGCGGTGGATGAATGAGAAAGTCGTGCCCAGGACCGGGTCGCGCCTTCGCGGCGCTGGTATAACGGGGCGGATGTGTAATTCCAGGGGCGCGGTGTTCGAGATTTTTTTTTTTTTTTTTTTTTTTTCCACGGGTCTATGTGTGTTGCCTCGGGAGTTGCTCCAGGGCGAGGAGGCCCCCCTTTTGACCCGGCTCACGTTGTTGGGTGCTCGATCCCCCTCAAAAGTCAGCATCGATTCCCCTACGCTGGGAATGTAATCCAATTATCCAACTCCTCCCCTCCTCCACCACCGCCCTCCACGGTTATACGCTCTCCTTTTGCCCTCTCTGCCCTCTCTAGCTGTGTGAGGAAGTGAGTGAGTGATTGAGAGTGAGTTAGCAATTGTAGCTGCGTGAGTTTGTGACATGCTCGTCAACTTTGCCCTGCTGTGCCCACAGTTTGACTCCGCCATTGCAGGACAAAGCAACAATAAATACAGTAACAACAACAATAAGAAGAATAATAATAAGAATAGAAGAATGGGGAAAAACACAAGAGAGAGGACGGACAATGTCCACCTATGTGTGCCAGCCAGCCATGACTTGAGGGAGGGTGTGTGATTTGACTTCATCTGGTTTTGTTGCTGGGGAACATGGCTTTGGCTTTGGGAGGGAGGGTGTTGGAGTCATGGTGATGCCTTGTTGTGTTGTGTCCTGTGTGAGAGTAGCTGTGTGTGGTGCTTTTGTTTGGATGAATGGGGGTGTGGGTCATTTTGTTTGTGGTTGCTTCAAGAGGGTAATGAGTGTGGGGTTTGAATGAATGGGCAAGCATGGTGTTGAGGATTGTGTGTATGGGGATACCAAGGGGGTGATTGTGTGTGAATATTATGAAAAGTAAAGGGTTGCTATGCTCAAAGGAGAAGGTGAGATGTCACTTGTAATTAGTTGAAATAAAGAATTATTCTATAGTTGGCTTTTGTACTTAGAGCCAAAAAATTATGTGAGGAAAAGATGAGATAGAATATATGTTTTACTTACAATAGCATGAGCAATATCATGTTCCAAAATTTGTATGAAGTCTTTCTTAACAGGTAGTTTTTGTAGGAATTTGAAGAATTATCACAAAAATTGTTGAAAATGTGTTGTTGAAATTTTTCTAAATATGCTTTTAGACATGTACAGATTTACAAGCTAGCTTCATAATCCAATTGATTGTGAATGCACAATGCAAATTCATCCAACTCCTTTGTAGTCCTAATAATGATTATAATAAAAAGTTAAAATCAAATATTTTATCTTTTGGCTGTACCATCCAATGTGCTGCAAATTTTCATTTTAAGAATTTCTCTTTTGATTGTACCATGATAACAAGGTATTTGTTGATGAATTGCTTCATTTCATTTATATTCCTTGTTTTCAATCTCAATGTATGAAAAACTGAAGGAATCAAGGATGGAGCTGAATATTCTTATTTAAAAATAAATTAAAGTATATAATTAGTAGAACCATGTTAATTTTATTTTTTTTATCTTACCAGGAAAACAATTTAGTTATAAAGGCTTTGAAATAACAAGATACCTCCACATGTCAGAATTTTCCCTTTTAAAAAAATAATTAAATATTTTAAATAATACATGCGAATATAATTGATGTGGTTTGTGCCTCCAAAACCGTAATTAATCATAGTCCTTGTATAATTAAATCTTAATTTAAAGATATATTCAAATTCAACAAGGCTTGTACAATATATCTTTGAAATGATTATTCGGAAAATATAAATAATAATATAACTTACTGTTGAACTTTCTAACCATAGTGTGTTCATTTTGTGTGAAAATAAAATCAAAACAAATGGATAATTTTTTAAATTTATATAAAACTATAAATAGATCTACTATGCCTTAAAATAAGTGAATTTGTGCAACTTAGTTTCCATTTCCATTTTGAACGACAATCCAATTGTCTTATGGTAGCTAATTCACATATTGAAAAGTTAACTATTACCAGAAGGCTAAAAAGACACCCAAAAATATTACCTAAAAGCTAGGAAAATAGAACTCAACCTTTTGAAACAATACTGTATATTGATGATTAATGCTTAACTACAATCATGTGGATTTATCAATTTAGCATCAATTGTGGAAGCTAAGTGATGTTAAATTATTTCTATGACCTTTAAGAAATGAACACTGATAGAAGAAATAAACAGATGTGAAATTACTGTATTTATTCTACCTCACATTAGATGTTAGTCATCCAAGATTTGTCCTATCTTCTTTAGGTGTTTTCCTATCCCCTTCTTAAAGACCTACCAATTGATCTTACCATAATCTATTTCAATGGCAAAGTAGTCAAATTTAATTTTCAGAAAGCTATTACTACAGATGTAAATAATATGAGATGTTCTTTGAAACATGCTTTCAAATTTGAAAATACTTGTTAAATTTATGCTTAAACAATATCCATTTAAGCTATTCAATTGCTTTAATTCTGTTTATTTTTGAATTTTAATTCCTCTTTACTGCACATTTAAACAACTTAGAGTGAATAAATGATAATTATTTTCAGTGAATAACATAAAATGATACTACATAAATATATATATATATATATATATGTGTGTGTGTGTGTGTGTCTATATATATGCACACATGTTTATTTTATTAAAGTTTACAAGGTTTCAACCCTCTCAATTATTAATATAATGGGTTTCTATATTGTCATCAATGATATGTAAATAATTCATGAACACCCAACATTCTTTTGTTTTGAATTCAGTCACTCATGTAAAAAATGAAGAATTCAAATTTTGTTGAAGAACCATGTGTTAAGTTTACAGTATGAAGAGCTTAATTTCTACACTGTATGTGATTATATAAATAAACTATAATTCAATGAAAATAATTTGGCTCTCAATCCCTTTTAAATCAATGCATACATGTCTATATGTGCTTTTGAATATTGACTACCTGTACATGATTTTGGCAAGAATACTTCTATAATGTCAATAGGATTGTTTTTTTTTGGTTTGATATATATATATATATATATATATATATATACATATATAAGAGAATGATTTATTTCAAATTATATTTCGATGTAATTTGATTCATAAGTTTTTTTTATTAGGTAATATCTGATAAAAAGAATGGCCTAAGTTTATATTCATTTATATTACATGAATTTTTAAATATATTTCATGCAACATAACAAGTTAATTTTTTTTATCCTGCTAATTGTTTTACTTTATAAGGTTATATTTAAAATATGTATAATTTTTTTAATCAGAAAAAACATAGTGATATTCTTCCTATGATATTTATTTTAAAATAATTAATTTACAATTGAAAGGTGGTGATCATATTTATATTTGTAGATTTATTTGTTAAAGTCCCTTTTAATTTTTTCTACTAATAAGGCAAGAGCCTTTTGATGTAGAATAGTAACACAAAATACATATCACTCAACAGTAATGGAAACACATAAACATGTTAGAAATGTCAATTGATGTTTGAATCCACAGTCTGGTTGATATTGGATGTATTGCATGGGGGCAAGATGAATTCCACAAGACATTCAACCCAAATTTTGAGGGATTTATAGTGGTAGGCCAAGTCATCAACATGCTTCAGAAAATCTGCAAAAAAAAAACAAAACAAACAAACAAAACCAAAACCAAAACCAAAACAAAACAAAAAACCAAAAAAACCAAAAAAACAAGAAAAAAAAAAGAAAAAAAAAAAACAAAACACACACACAAAACAAAACACATAATGAGAAAAAATATCAATGCTAAGAAAACCAACAAATGAATAAATTCCAATGGTACATAGGACCCAGACAAAAAACATCATTCAAGCCCAACTTCCACATTATCTTTAAAAAGACTAAAATCAAAGAGCAGAGGAAAAAAGAAAACAAAAAAAAGAAAACAAAACACATCAAAAACATGCCAAAGCGCCGTCGAAAGGGAACCACAATGGAAGAAAAACGCAACATTCTAGAATGTTATGGCAACAGTAACAAAAAAAAATGATAAATGGATAAATGAACAGAGAAGAGTTGTCGGGGGGGGGGGGGAGGGTCAAGTGCGAGCATCATCATTCATCCAATGGATGAGAATTGGGCCGCTCATTCGAGCTCTGGAACAGCATGCATCTCGAGCAGAGGGTCCTCTAGGTACCAATGTAAGTGCCATCATGCATCCAAAATACATTCATCCATTTGGCACACGCTTTGAGGGAGAAGCAGGGGCAGGCAAGCAGGCAGAATAGAGGCAGGAGCTCCTGATCCCTTTTCCCCCTCTTGTTGACTGTTCTGCGACGGAACATGTCCTCCTCTTCCACTACAAAAGTTCCTCACGTTCTCACCTGAAAGGCAATGGGGAACACACATAGAACAAAGGGGGGGTAGGCTGCCCTGTCAAACCCTGCCCAGCCCAGCCCGGCCCGGCCCGGCCCCGCCTGGCCTGTTTTGCCTTGCACAGGCTTGGACAATTTTCCCAGGACCCAATGCCAGAGTACAAATTGCCCACAAAAATAATTGCGCTGCTGTAGCCCCATGGGCTCATTATGATGGTTTAGATTCTCATAAGCTCTGCCCTTGTCATGTGCCCCCTTGTTAAAATTGGACACAGTAGCTGCTGGTTGTGGCTGCAATAGAAAAACAGAATGACTGTGTAGAATTTTGTATAATCAGTGCGTGGAAGAATGAGTCTAACAGTGTTATTGAATGGTCTTTGTGGACAATTGGGGGGGGGGGGGGTACATGTATTCTATTTCTGAGGAAATGGTGATTCGGAGCACATTTGAGGAACAAGTTTCCAATGTTGTTATATCCATTTTGACCAGTTGTTATTACAATGAGGATGGAATATATATATATATGTATGTATGTG